ATATATTCCAAATAAGAGGGATAGGAGAGAGGAGGGCCTAGGGCTCTTCTCCCTTGATTTTGGGCTGCAACGCACACGCTGCTGGCCTGACATTGATTTTCCTCTCCTCGTCCTTTGCCTCTTTTTCCTGTATCTCTTTCTCTTTCATTTGTACTCCAACCCCTTATAACTACGCCGTTTTCCATGTACCTGACGTCCTCCCATGAAAATATTCCGTGAATTTTAATTAATGTTGTGTTTTCATGCGTGGTAGTATAATAGTAGGCTGTACAAAGAATTAGTGGAACTTAAAGTATCGCTAACAAATAATGTCTTTATTATATCAACAGCATAAAACCTTCGTGTTAAAATGAACGGAATTTTTGTCTAGAAAATTTTTTTAGAACCCTAAAAATAACAACGTGCAAAAACAACGACCAACGTGGGTAGAATATTTAAATGTAGAGGTAGATATCAAAAGAGCATAGTATTATCGTTTGTTTCTTAAATCGAACAGATTGTTTAGCTATGGTTATCTATAGTAACACGTAGTTTAAGTTTTCTTTAGAGTAACTACTACTACTACTACTACTATTACTACTATTCCTCCTTCTCATCTCTTCCCTTTCGACTCTTTCTTATATTTCTTATGATAGGCCGGCCTGCTCGACGACCAATTTGGCGCCACTGAACAAAATGTGTCAAGGTCTTTCCTCGATCCACGATCTGCCACTCGCGACTCCCTCCCCTCTTTCTCTTCCTTCTTTTTCGTCTTCATCCTCCTTCTCCTCGTCTTTATCTTCTTCTTCTTCTTCTTCTATATTTTCTTCTAGATTTCTTTTTCTAACGGAGGAAAAAAAAAGAAAAAGAAACATTCCCGTTGTGGTTTGATCTAAGGCTAACGTATCATCTAGATTTAGTAGAATTTTCATTAAAATAGGTCGTAACATTATTTCTTAAAGGATTGTTAGTTTAGATTTATTTGTTTGACAATAAATTTGAATTGTATTGATAATTATATAGCTCATTTACTACTATTCGTATTACCAAGAAGACTCTTCCTAATTTTGGATAAGAATTGAATATCTTCAAAGACGTACCTATATTTATTGTAAGAAATATTTATACAAAATCGTTATGTTTCCACGATATAATTGTAAAAATTCATTAAGTTTCCCTGTATACTTCTCTACTGTGTTTATATAACAGCAATAACAAGTGTAATAATAATAATAATAATAGTAACAACAATGTAATTGAACATCTCATCTATATTATAGATACACGTCGGTGCGTTTCGTCTTTACGTTATTCTATCTCTATTCAGTTTGAAAAGGGAAAAGGGTCAGATCGTCGTCATAGTTATAATCCAAGTGAAGAGTGGGAGAGACCTTGGAAGTTGCTGCGTTTCGTAACTTAACCTTTCCATTTTCTCCCCTCTCTACCAACTACACAACACACTACTACTTCATCGAGGCCCAGGTTCTAAAGGCTTTTTCCTTCGATCCCTTCGGTCAAACACGCACAATTCCGCAAAGAAAAAAATCGAACAGCAAGAATTGCGAATATATCCCATCGAATAATATTTTATCTTTTTTTCTCTTTCTTTTTCTAATGTCAATTCATCGATCATCATATCTTATAAACATATATTTATAATGTATTTTCAAATCGTTAAGAGTATATGGATTATAACGTCGGTATAATAAAATTCAAATGAAATAAAATCAAAATCATCAATATATAATTAAATATTATTATTATTATTATCGTGTGAAATATTTTTCGGTAATATATGTCCAAGTAATTGACTTAAAAATTTTCAACAGAAATGATAATACGATAATGATCGATACATAGGCGAATGTCTCGAAATCAAGTGATTTCTAGGCAAAGCAGATGGCGGCGGGTGCCTTTCTCGGAAGCGATCATTTTCGCTTCCTGAGCCTTTCGGCATCGTTTTGCGTTTCTGCATGTCTCTCAGGGGCGTATCTAACCCCGCGGCTATATCTGTCTTTCTTTTTCTCATCCCGTGGAAACATACACACACACACACATACACAAACGCACACGTTCTATCTTTTTCTTCCTTGTGCCTTTGTCTCAGGCATTCTCTTTCTTTCTTTTTTCTTTATCTCTCTCTCTCTCTCTCTCTCTCTCTCTCTCTCTCTCTCTTTTCTCTTCTCTGTTTCACGCGCGCCTCGTCTTCTTCACGGATCCCGCTCTTTGTTCCTCCCCCCCTTGTGCCCCCCCTAGTTGAGGATCCTTTGTGAATTTCATAGTCAGCTGCACGAAACCGAGGCCCGCCGTCACCGCGACCCCGTTTACTTTTTCTAGGATGCCCGGCTTCTATTTTTAGGTGCTATCCGCCGAAAAGCCAGAGAAGAACGCCGCGCGCGGTTCCGCGTGTTTTTTAAAAGTACCCACATACAAACGGGCGCTCGCGCGCAGCGCATTATATTATTTTTATTATTATTATTATAATTATATGCCAACAAATTTATATACGCGTACCCGCGCGCGAATTTGTTTTTTTTTTTTTATATTCGACGGAATCCGTTAGGAAATATTTCTCAACTATCAATTATATTCCATAATGAGATTAATGAAAAATCTAATCTTTTTTTTCTTTTTTCCTTTTTGTAAATAATATTTATATCATCAGAGAGATTTCGTTGATTAAAATATTTCATATTAGTCTCCATTTATTTGATATAACATTCGAATATATATGTGTATATATTTTTTTTTTTTTTTTTTAGTAACGCCTACGATTCTACTCGCGTTCTTAACTATTTTTGGCTTACCATTCTCCTTATTTTTGCATTACGTGTTTGATAGCATCCCGAGATATACGAGATCGAATCGAAATTTCCAAGTGAATATATCGTGCTATTTCCCTCTCCCTTTTTTTTTTTGAACGAGAGAGAAAGAGTAAAAAAGAAAGAAAACGACGTACTATTTCTTATCGGCAACCTACTATAATAGTCTTCAGCGCAACCTGCCGTGTTCGCACGACGTATAATAAACGCGTACACGCACGCGCCTTTCACGCCCACGATTATTTATGCGTTGCATGTGGTGGTAGTAGTGGTGATGGTGGTGGAGGTGGTGGTGGTGGTGGTGACGAGGGTGGTGGGAGATGGTGCTCGTAACGACTTTCGAGGACCCCACGTTTTACAACATTTTAGCGTGCTAGCCAACCCTATACTTTTGTTTTCTTCGTTTCAGCTCTTTCTTGCGATGATAACATCGTGTTACTACTTTCGACGCAATCGATAATCTATCGATCTATCCAATATTTTTCTTCTCTTAACTTTTTTTTTTACTATTCCTCGAAAATAACAATTCTATCGTTGTGTATAAAAATCGAATAGAGAAATGATATTAATTAAATATTATACAATTGCAATTTTTAATTCGAATCGTTGAAAAAAAGTGATCAATAATTGATAATTCTATCTAATCGTTTAGGAATAAATAAATTATTATTTAAAAAATAAAACCAATTTTTTTTTTAACAATTCGTCCAATAAATCATCTCATACGAATTTCTAACGAAATAATCGAATATTGAATTTTCGAATGAATTAATTAATAAACACCACTACGTTTAAGTTCTATACTTGTGTTTGATTGTTTGTTTTTTTGTTTGTATTTTTTTTTTTACTTCGCTTATTTAAGAATGTCGAAAGAAACAGGAAGGGTGTTGGAAACAGTAACGGTCAGTAGTTTTCAGGACGTTAGTTTCTAACGATAGGTTCCGCGTAGCAAAAAATAGAGAGAACAGAGGAGGAACAGGAGGATGATGATGATGATGATGATGATCAGAATGGATTCTCTTCCTCGTGAATGGTGAGGTTCGAAAAGAATGCGAGTTAATCGTCCTCTCGATATGGGGAAGCTTGTTGTTCATTGGATGGCCTTGCACGTGCCGACAATCTCCAGAAGGCATTGGCCTGATGTTCTACCGTGAACCGTTCCTTCCTTCGTCGTAGTGTAGTTGACTTTGTTTTCTTCTTCTTTTTATTGAAGGGACTAATGGCGAAGCGTGCGCGCGCTACCATCAGGCTAAAAAAATATAATCGGCGAAGTAAAAGAGAGGAAGAGAGGGATGTTACGTAACTCTTGCATTTTCAATACGCCACACGATCTATCTTTATTTTAACGTATAACATACGTGCTGGCTATGATTATTTTCTCTTTAATAAATTGCATAATCCTACGAAAATGAATTCATTTAAAACAAAACAAAATATATATTATAATAAAATAAAATCTCTGAGTAATTTTTTTGTACGATCATAATTGAACTGTTGTTCATTGCACAATCGATTAACTCCACTTTTTGAAAAATCTTTCATTTAATAAGTGTAAAAGCACTTATATATGGTATAATCATAACTTTTTATATTTATATATATTTTCCCAAAGGTAAAAGGTTTGACATCATTAAACAACAATATTGTTTTTTAACCACTGAATAATAAATCATTTATTTCAGATGTCATTTTGATTACCTCCGTACTGTAATGAAAATTGTTGCAGTAATGCAATTCAAATGCATTAGCAAGCGCTTTTTTCTCTTTTTTTTCTACTAAATTTATTTGAATATATATTATAAAAGAAATTTTAAAAACCAATAGACATTATTTCATCGCATTTTCTCACTATTTGTTTTATGGAGTTAATCGATTTGTTCAATGAACGGCTCAATTAAATCTCTAAATTAGATCTAATATTTGATCGTCTCTAATAATCATATCAAATTATCTGACAAAAAGGTAGCTAAGTTTTATCGAAAACACTATATTATATCCAATTGATACTTGATCACATCATTTGATATTTGTTAATACGTTAACAACGAATTTGTTTATTCGTTTTCTTTTCTAAAACGTTTTAATACCTTATTGTATTATATAATTAATCGTTGATTTTATATTTCTTAATAATCCCCGTTGTAAGATTTTGTGATCACCATCATAATTATATATTCCTTTTGTTATTTTTGTTCGCAGGTAAAAAATTGAAGTGTCCATATTGCGAGAAATTGTACGGTTACGAGACGAATTTGCGTGCTCACATACGGCAACGTCATCAGGGAATTAGAGTACATTGTCCATATTGTACGCGAACGTTCACGAGAAACAACACTGTGCGACGGCATATAGCACGGGAACACAAAGCTGAGATGAATTTAAAAGTTTTTCAACAAACGAATCATTCGGTCCCCGATTCCGTGCAACAGTAACAACATTATCCTTGACCTTCTTATCATCATCGCCGTCGTAATAATCTACATCATCATTATTGTCGTCGTCGTCGTCATCGTCGTCGTCATCATCATCATCATGGTTGTTACCCTAATCTTCGTCCTTATTATTTTCTTCGTGATTTCGTGACTGCACCACCAAGATATCGAAGGAAAAGGGAACGGGAATGAAATATTATCGATACCACCGAAACTTTTTTTTTCTCTCGGACTTTATGCTACACGAAGAAACGAAGAAGGATATGAGGAAGGAGGAAGAGGTGGAGGTAGAGGGGGGGAGCTTTATAATAGTTCTCTCCACATCACAACCCTTCGACGTTCGACTCGAATACCGTCCCTTATCTCTTGATCGGTAAAAACGCTGTAGTAAGAAGATGTTCCAACAGAGTTTATTCAACAAAAAAATCAGTTAGTAGTAGTAGAAGAGGAAAATGATGAAGATGATGATGATGATGAAGAAGAAGAAGAAGAAGAAGAAGAAGAAGAAGAAGAAGAAGAAGAAGAAGAAGAAGAAGAAGAAGAAGAAGAAGAAGAAGAAGAAGAAGAAGNGAAGAAGAAGAAGAAGAAGAAGAAGAAGAAGAAGAAGAAGAAGAAGAAGAAGAAGAAGAAGAAGAAGAAGAAGAAGAAGAAGAAGAAGAAGAAAAGGAACAAATCATTCACGGATGATGGCCAATTAATTTCATAATTCAATCCATTTTTCTTTTCTTTTTCCTCCGCCCCCACCCCCACCCCTCCCATTTCTTTTTGGCAATTCGTCAAAAACATTGCCAATTTTTGTCGAAGATCGTTTCGACATTTTTCAGTTGATTTTTTCTCTTGTTGTTCTTGTTTTATTTTAAGTCTTTTTCTTTTTCTTTTCTTGCGCGGGTTCACTTTTTATTTTCCATTTTGTTCGACGATTTAACGAGAAAACTATTCTCAACAAGGCTGCCGTTTTATTCTGAATCAAAGATCGTTCGAAAACAGTTACGTCAACGTTGCCCATCATCGTCATTGTTATCTACCTGGGATCATCGTTCTACTACTACTACTACTACTACTACTACTATCATCGTAGACCGATTTTAAGGAGTTTTAAGGTCAGGTTAAGGACTCGCAGTTTTCTGAAAGATTCGTAAGATGCACTGCGGTCTTGGAATACTATTGAACTAATTTTTTTTTTATTTCATTTGTTTGTTCTTTTCTTTTATTTTTTGTTTTTTTTTGTTTCCTAAGATTTTTATTAATTTTATTCTCAATGAAAATAAGAAGAGAGATACTATATTTTTTTTTGTGTTGTTTTTGTTCGTCGAATCCGTTCGAATTCGATCATCCTGTTTAATTTTGCAAAATGAAGAACTGTCATTGCATTTTTTTTTGTGTTTTTTTTTTATTCCTTTTTCTTTTTCGATCACCGTGGTGCCTCTTGGGTGGATCTTTCTGAAAAAATAATAAATGTGTACGTCGCGAACTCTGAATATGAGTGGAATAATAGGGAAAACAAAAAGCTGCCGTCGTATTAGAATTTACGATTATTAAAAAAAAGAAAAAGAAGAAGAAAAAGAAGAAGAAGAGAAGAAGAAAATGAATAAATAAATAAATAAATAAGAAAAAACAAAAGGAGGAAAATATGAATAGAAAGAAGTAAAATAATACGGTGCGTATGATAGATAAAAAGAAAAAGAAGAGAGTATGTATGTTGGTTGTGTATACGAATGAGAAAATGCAGAGAGAGAGAGAGAGAGAGAGAGAGAAAGAGAAAGAGAGAAAGAGAGAGAGAGAGAGAGAGAGAGCAAGAGTTATTTAGAATGAAACGAGGGATTATGTATGTGGTATGATGAGTAAGGAAGGAGAAAAGTTAGAAAAGGGAACGCCGAATCACAAAACTAGTCAATGAAAGTGCAACGGTCGTCTAGTGACTATAATTACCTATATAACTATTAAATGAGAAAATGCTAAGTGATTATTAAATGAAATAGACGATAATAAGCAATGATGATGAAAGAAATAGTTAAATAATGGATATAAACAAAGCACAAACGTTAATAATAAATACATGAATAAAAATAGTAAAAATAAAACGCGCGAATTAAATAGTATAATAATAATATATCGATGATAAATGCAAAACGGAAATAGTCATAGGATTGAAAACGCAAAACTCAGGTAAAATAATAATGTCATACACATTACATATGTTTTAAATATACATAGATATATGTTGAACTAGACGAAACGTTTTCATAGTTGATGGATGCCGATTTACAGATTAAATAGAAACAAGGGACAAATAAAAATAAACAAAAAAAAAAAAGAAATAATAGCGGACGAGATAGAAACCATGATGGTTGATCAACTTTCTTTTTTTTTCTATCATTCGCGAAAGATTGTTGAAGAACATTAGGGGGTAGGGGGAAGGTGAAAAAGTATATAGGAAATATATACCGAAATAATAAGAATGATCGAGAAAGAGGAAAATAAACGACCATCGCTCGCTACTATACTATATTTTTGTTTTTCTATATATTCTTGTTTTTTTTTTTAAACAATTTTTTTTTTTGTTTTTTATTTCTTTTTTTCATAGTTCAAACGTGTTACATAAAAGAGAATGATAGATAAAGAGAAAGAAGATGATATAATCGCTTTTATTATTATTATTATTATTATTATTATTATTATTATTATTATTATTATTATTATTATTATTATTATTACCACAAATAATAACGCAAAGCTGTTAACTACTTTTTCAATGCAGATGCTCTGGTACTATATTTATTGCTGTTAAAGAAATCGAGTCGAGCATAGTATGATCGATATTTATACACAGATAGCCATACCTACACGCATACGCATATTTACAGAACAAACGGGTGATATAATGAATAGTATACATTAATAATACATACATAATACAATCCGTACGTTAGTTACGTTCAGTAGTCATTTCACGCGCGCTGTGCCAAAACAAAACTGAAATAGTAGAAACGTGTCTTTTTTTCTTTTTTTGTTCATTTTTTTTACGCTTTAAACCCAACTAGAGAACGCTAATGCATTTCGTTTTTTAATCGCGTTTCCCTCTTTTTACTTCTTCTTTTTTATTATTTGCTACAAGATCATATACGAGACTTTATTAATTATTATTATTATTATTATTATTAATTATTATAGAGTATGTTTATTATTATTATTATTATTATTATTATTATTAATTATTATATAGAGTATTATTATTATTATTATTAATTATTTTGATTATTATTATTATTAATATTATTATTATTATCGATCGACAACCACCACCGCCACCATGACTATATATCACCGTTTTATCATTATTAAAACAACCGACTATCCATGGAGATTATGATATATCGCTAAGAGAGGTGGTGGTTGCGAGTCGTTTTAATGCAGGATAAACATAATAATATTGAAAACACGATTTTTGTACAGCTGACAGTTTTATACGCAAAGTTTATGAGATTACTATGATTCTAGGACGCGAAACCGTCTTGTACGATTTAAAACCGGATTAAAAGCACGATAAAACGTAATTTCGTTCTTTTTATGGGGAACGGTTTCGATCGGAATAAGGAAAGTAAAGTAATTTTTAACAATTATCATAAAGCATTAAACAAGAAAAAAAAAGAAATAGAAAGGAACAATTTTGATGCTTATTAATTTGTAGAGAAAAAAAAAAAAAAGGAATTAAACCGAACCCATCTCAATTTTTTCGTAAAAATACAATTTTTTCATAAAAAAAAAACCAATTGTTAGGCTTTTGTTGCTTCCTTATTCTATTTTCCCTTTCCCATAGAAAGAACGATCTATCAATAAATTTGTGCTATAACAATTTAACTACAACTTTGTTACTTATTTACAATGTTTAAATAATGGACTTTTGTCCAAAGCAATAGAACCAGTAAATAGGAAATATTAGAGAATAATAGAAAGAAATAGAAAATACGGGAAACACAAAATGAACCAAACTTCTTGTATCTCGATTATTATACTCTTAGATTTAAATTTTAAGGTCTCATGAAGAAAGGAAAAAGAGATGGAGAGAGAGAAAGAGAGAGAGAGAGAGAGAGAGAGAGAGAGAGAGAGTAAGAAAGAAAGAAAGAAAGAAAGAAAGAAAGAAAGAAAGAAAGAGAAAACAGTAACTGCACTTTAATGTCCGGTTGTATATGATTGTGATCAATGCGCAATAGCTTAATATTATCTATTAATATTTAGATACTCCTAGTCAGGATGGCATCACGATATTACTTGTTGCAGTATTTTACAAACTTTATATACAGATTTTTCTCATTTTTACTACCGATGAGAAATCGTCGTTTATTTCTCAATTATATTTTTGTTACAGTAACTAAAGAGCATTATAAAGATTTATATTTTACAACGATATGCCTACCATAAGTTTATCAGAGAAAGAAAGAGAATGAGAGAAAGAAAGAGAAAATGTGTGAGAGTGAGAGAGAGAGAGAGTAAGAATGAGAGAGAAAGAGAAAGAAAGAAAGAGAGAGACAATAGACGATAGAAAATTATTTAACGTTGAAAATCAACAGAACAAAGAAAATAAGAGAAACATATAGCGTGGAAAGACACACGAAATATAATATACATAAAAGCATATTATATACGTGCATATATATAGATACATACATACGTACATACATATATGTATATATGTGTGTATAAATGCAGATTATTTGTTTTTTTTTTCTTCTTTTTTCTACTCTACTATTAATATTATAATAATATACTATATGTATTTTATTATATTATATTCTTATTATTATTCTTTATTAGTGTTTTCCAATCGTCCGTAAAAGCGTGCGCGAGATATGATTTTAAAATAATCATACAGCAGGCTCTCGCATTTTCTGCCAAAAGTATGAAAGTACTACCTCATCGTTTTTATAAATAATATGCACATTTTTGTAAAGCGTAAACGTAACAGGGAACACAATTTACAATAATTAAACAAAGGAAAGAAAAGAGAAAAAAAAAGAAACCAAAAAAAAAAACAAGGAAAAAAAATCTGTACATTCCGTACAGGTTGTTACCTACTACTACTACTGCTCTACTACTAAATATTATTAACAAATAACTATTATATATTGTAACCAGCGCGCCCTGTATACAGGGTGATACAAAAGCACGGATCTCGAGATACTTCCAGGCACGAATTTCGAATATCGTTTCGTTCTCGTTAACTTATCGGACGATGATAATAACGGTAATAGTAATTAATAGTGATTTTACGATTTTGTTTTATTTTTATATTAAACATCCTTTTTCCCCCCTTTAACCCCACCTCCTCAAGCAAGCTCTATACCGCTCAAACGAAACTTTTTAGTTTTTTTTTCTTTTTTCTTTTTTTTACGACATTGTTGAGAATTGATTTCTTCTTTTTTTTTTTTTTTTTTCTACGAGTTATAACAATACTAGTCAAGCGTACAAATTGATCGATATTTACGAGTA